GGTCAATTAATTTCTTTCTATTTTTAGTAGAGATGGGGTCTCCTTCAGGCTGGTTTTGAACTCCTGACCTCTAGCAATCTGCCCACTTCGGCCTCCCAGAGTGCTAGGATTACAGGCGTGAGCCACCACACCCGGCCTCTTTCTATTTTTAATTGAGATGGGATCCTGCTCTTGCTCAGGTTGGTCTTGAACTCCTAAGCTCAAGCAATTCTCCCGCCTCAGCATCCCAGAGTGCTAGGATTACAGGTGTGAGCCACCATCCCAGGACCCTGTCTCAGCTTTTGACACGCCTTCTTCACTAAGTGTAATGATTTCTAGCTTTTGATTTAAAGTGAGAGATATGCAACTCTTCCTTTCATTTGAACACTTAGACACCATTGTAGGGTTATTAATTGACCTAATAGTACTATTATGTCTCAGGGTATAGGGGAGGCCCAAGCAGAGGGAAAGAGATGGGGGAATATCTGGTCAGTATAGCAGACAGAACACACATCACATTTATTAAGTTTGCTGTCTTATATAGGTATGGTTGGTGGCACCCCAAAAACAATATTTTCATTTCATGTTACTATTTGTAACATCAAAGATCACTTATCTCAGATCACTGTAAGAGTTGTAATAATGAAAAAGATTGAGTATTGTGAGAATTATCAAAATGTGACATAGAGACACAAAGTATACACATGTTCATGGAAAAATGATGGTGATAGACTTGCTCAACAAAGGGCTGCAACAACCTTCAATTTGTTAAAAACACAGTATCCATGGACTGTAATATAATGAGACATGCTTATATTCACTTATGCAAATATATGTGTGTATGTAGTTATACACATATACATTTATATATGCATATGTATGTATACCCTTATGCTTAAAACAATGCTTGGATAAATTGTTAAAAATAATTACCTAAAGGGAAAGGAATGGAGGCAAAAGCACAAAGGATAGGAACAAAACCTAGACTTCTTTGAATATATTTTGTTTTACATATGTAGTTTTGGAGCCATGTAAGTATTTTACACAATTTAAAACAATTTAATTTTAAAGAGCAATTCCTAAACATCAAGTAAAATCTAAAGAAGCAAACCTGTTTCTGGATAATGACATTACTACTCAGAAATTGCTCCAGTTGACTTTAAAACAGTAATTTGACTGAACATTCCTAGTGAAATATATCTTCAAAACAAAAAGTTAAAAATAACACTCTATCTTGTTTTCAGTAATTATTTTGTTGATGCTAGTATTAGTATTGTTATTTGAATCAGTGATTTAAAAAATGAGTGATTATGAATGTGTTTTAAGAACTGGAAAGAAACAGATAAGACAGAGGTTGGTAATTAAAAATTCTATAGTCCTGAGTTTGAATTTGACTATCATTGTGAAATCAAGATGTATCTTTTCTTTTTAAAAAATGCATATTTCCTAGCTTTTCCACTGAAAGGTTAGAAATAATGACCAACCCAATACCAGTGAGTAGCCCTAGTGCTCAGTCTCTGTATTCCATTTCTAAATCTTAGTGATGGTTCAATACCTGCTGATTCCAAGTCTGGAGCAGGAAGTACAAAGGATGAATCTGGAGCACGCTGGAAAGCGAAGAAGCTACTAAAAATTACTGAAGTTTTATCTGAAGCATTCCAGAACCAGCTTGAATAGGCTCTCATTGGACAAAGCCAAGACAATCTGAGTACCAATGAAAAGAAATACTGTAATGGATTGAAAAATTTTAACGATGTTTAAATCTAGGAGTCATAGGGATATATACAAACAAGAAAAAACTTTCTAATTACCTTTGAGAATACTAGGCAACCAACTCATTTTTGAAACTGGGAAATAACTGTTTTATTTTGCCTTTTGTATGTGAACGCTCCTCAGAGAAACCGAATAGTTGACGAGGAGCAGTTTCTCTTCATAGAAGTATTTCTACTAATTGATGAAGACAGAAAACTACCAACATCCTATTGATAGTATACAACCCACCTCCAAAAAATTCTTGCAAACCAAACCAAAACTGTTAATCTGATCAAGGCTTTAGTTCTAAGGACTAATTTACAGGAAAAAGAAGAGACAAAAGAGTATGTTAAATTACACCATGGGGATTTTTCAGCAAAAAACAGACTGGAAAACTCTACAGAACAAATGACTCACTTTTTTCAACAAGTTGCAAGTAAAAGAGAGGGGAAATCTATTGATTAAAAAGACTTAAACAAATTAACCAATTGCAATATATAAATCTTATTTAGATTTTGGTTCAAATATTCTGGGGGATAAAAAGGGCATATTTGTACAACGTTTGAGAGAATGTGAACTACCTTTATATTTAATGTCATTAAAAAATTATTGTTGACTGTGAGTACTCATGAGTGCATAAGAGAATAGGTGGTCTTATTTTTTTTTTAATGAGGACTCTTGTCTTTTATTTATTTTTTTTTTACATCTGTCAACCTGTAGGAAATAAAGATACTAATATATGTTGAAATATCTACAGTTGAAATGATATACTATCTAGGATTTGCTTCAAAATAATCTAGGAGCAATATATAGAGCATTATAGAGGGAACAAAATCAGTCATCAGTTGAGAATTGTTGATGCTTGGTGATGAGTACATGAGGGCTCATTATATTATTCTCTCTCAACTTTTGTTTAAATTTTTAATTTGTTATAGTGGAAAAATTAGAAAAAGTAAGAAACTTGCCACAGCTACTACATAAGAATGACTCAAAACATAACAAAAACCCCAGTAACATGACTAACATTATTTTCTTACAATCAAGTTTGCCACCCTTTTTAAAATAAACTTTTTGTTTTGTATTAATTTTAGAGTTGAAGAAAAATTGCTAAGATAGTACAGAGCATTGCCATATACCCTTCACCCAATTTCTCCCAATATTAATGTCTTAGATTATCATGTCACATTTGTAAAATCTGAGAAACTGACATTGCTACATTACTGTTAATGAAACACCAGACTTTATTTGATTTTACCAGTTTTTCCACTACAGTCCTCTTTCTGTTCCAATATCTCATCCAGGGTACCACATTGCATTTAATTTTCACGTTACCCTAGTTTTCTTGGATCTGTGACAGATTCTCAGTCTTTTTTTGTTTGTCATGGCCTTTACAGTCTCGGGTACTAGCCAGGTATCCTATAGAACTGCCGTCCCCAACCCCCGGGCTGGGGCCTGTTAGGAACCAGGCTCGGCATCACTGCCTGAGCTGCGCTCCACCCGGTCTGTCTGTGGAAAACTTGTCTTTCATGAAACTTAGCAACTGGGCTGCACAGCAGGAGGTGAGCGGCCAGGAAGCGAAGCTTTTGTATTTACAGCTGCTCTCCCCACCCCCTTCCACCCATCCATGGAAAAACTGTCTTCCATGAAACTGGTCCCTGGTGCCAAAAAGGTTGGGGACCTCTGGTATAGAATGCCTCCCAATCTGGGTTTGTCTTTTGTTTTTCTTATGATTAGACTGGAGTTATGGGTGTTGGGGAAGAATACACACAGAGGTGAAGTACCTTCTCGTCACATTACTTCAGGGAGTACATGTTATCGACATGACACCACTTACGACATGAACCTTCATGGCTTCGTTGAAGTAGCATTTGCTAGGATTCTCCACTATAATGTTAATATTTTTCCCTTTGCCTGTTCTAGTTTTTAGAAGCAAGCCATTAAGTCTAGTCCACCTTCAAGCTGGCCAGGGAGGGTGGTTAAGCTCCACTTTCTGGAAGGGAGATATGTTGGGGGTTTCTAAGACCACCTGCAGGTTCGGTGATTCACTGGAAGAACTCACATATGGTCATATTCACGGCTAAGCTTTATTTATGGTAAAAGGATACAGAACAAAATCAACAAAGGGAAAAGGTGCCTGAGGAGAAGTCTGCAGGAGACCAGGCAGAAGCTTCCAAGAGTCCTTTCCCAGCAGAGTCACACAGGATGCCCTTAACTTCCCCAGCAACCAGTTGTGTCCATATGTATAAAATGTAATCTACCAGGGAAGTTTGCATGAGCCTAGGAGTCCAGGGTTTTTGTGGGGGACTGGCCAAGCAGGCATCCTCTGCCTAGCATGTACCAAACTTCCAGACTTCCAGAAGGAAAGAGATTTTAGCATTAACCACATTATTTGTACAAACCATTTAGCACAGTGAGCTACTTTTATAATTTACAGAAACTTTTATACCATTGTAGGGAACTATTTACTAGTCAAGTTTCTAGCCTCCAACCAGGGCCAACCTTGCAAGCAGGCCTGTCTGAGGATAGCCATCACAGGCCTTTGATGTTAATTCTTTTCTGCATAGGGAAGTATCTACATGTCACTACTTTTATCAGCCATCGTTATTTTGAGGGAAAAAAAAGAATCAGATAAAAAATATAGCACATAGGTGGGGTATGGTGGCTCATGCCTATAATCCTAGCACTTTGGGAGACCAAGGCAAGAGGATCGCTTGAGGTCGGGAGTTCAAGACCATCTTGAGCAAGAACTAGACCTGTCTCTACAAAAAAATGGAAAAATTAGCCGGGCATGGTGGCACGTGCCCATAGTCCCAGGAGTTTGAGGTTGCAGTGAGCTATGGTGACACCTGTACTCTAGCCCAGGTGACAGAGTGAGACCCTGTCTCAAAAAAAAAAAAAAAGCACATAATGATAGAAGCTATATGATAGTAAGAATGACAAAATGAAATTTAAAATCAGATCAGAGGTATCTAATTTCTTTATAATGGAATATGTGACAATCTAGACCATTTTTCTTATTAGCATTTCTCTTGCCCATTTTTAAACATTGGTATAAAAATATTACTCATATTGCAACTTTTGGAGTGTTTCATAATTTTAAAAAATGCCTCCAGGTTGTAAGGCATTTATTGCCAAATAATTAGAAGAAGGCTGTGTAAATTTCAGTAATAAGTAATAACATAACAACCAAAACCTAGGTGGAGATCCCAGAAAGTAATTACTAAGATTTAAGATGCAATGCGTATTAGTCATTTACTTTCTTTTAATAGGAAAAACGTGGTCTTCGAGAAATGCGAGTTCTTGAAAATTTGAAGAATATGGTCCATGAAACAAATGAACATACTCTTCCCAAATGTAGAGAAGCAATGCAGGACAACTTAAGCCAAGTTCTCCAGAGATGTAAGCCAGCGATCTTTTTATTATTGCTTTTCGTTTCAAATGAGTGCTACATCAAAATGTATTTTCTTGAGTATTATGGTGGGAGGTAGAGAAGGAGAATTCTTAACCTGGATATATGAGAGGGAAGCCCAGTCACAGAGAAAGTGGTTGTCTAGTGATTAATGTGTGTTGCCATTGATGTTAAGAGCATTAATCTCCAAAGCAAGATGTGTGCATCTGCAGTACACAAAACAGTCTTTTTAGTATGTGAGAAATTTTTTAAATGTTCTGCCTTTTTTTAGAAAGAATTTATCTGTAAGAAAAAAATTGATGGCCAAGAATTTGGAGGATATGAAATGAAACTTCTTTTTAAAATAGGATATTAGAAGTTTTAGCTTTTTTAATAAAATAATCTTTTCATGAATGTTTGTATTTCATCATTTTTTATTAAGCAAACCATTTTAATGGGGAGAGACCATTGATCAAAAGGAATATATATTATTCTTTAATATCAAACTATAACATAAAATTAAAGTTTTATTAATATCTTATTTTAAAATTAGAAGTATGTAAGAAACTCTAGGCTTCTTCTCATCTATATTGACAACAGTCAGCTTGTTGAAGGAAAGTTAATGATGAATTAACTAGAGTGCACAATGGAAACATATCTTTTGGGGCGTAAAAAACCAAAACTGGCCTGTAATAGAATGGCCAGTGAAGGAAAGTAGCAGAGACCTTGGTTAATAATTGAGTTAAAAAAGCCTTTGTGTCCAAGTCCAAGTTAATGATCTTGTGTACTCTAATTCTAAAAGGAGGTTGGAAAGGATAGCTCTCCCATGATCACATTTGGTTTCTTTGGAACAAAGAAATTCTAAATTCTTTGAACAGCAGAAAGTCTAAAATTGACTTTAGGCTTTTGCCTTTTACTACAAACATGCCCTTGTTTGTTCATACTGTCATGTCATTAACCCTGACAAATGTTCTAGATATTATGCTAAAAGGAAAACTACAATTATTATCAATAAGTATGTATATATGTATTTATGTGTGTGTTTAGACATGCTTATCAATTCCCTTTTCCATACGTTGAGTGTATAAAACTCAGTGAAAAACTATGAAAAGTTATTTTGACTTGTTTTATTCTTGGGCTGAAGTTATTTCTGATGTGAGGAGTATCCTCTTAAGAGTATAGTCTTCCTACTTAAATAGAAAATATCGCTGGTAATTTGGAATCCACATTGTAAATGTATTTTCTTTTTTTTGAGACAAAGTCTCACTTTGTTGCCCAGGCTAGAGTGCGGTGGCATCAGCCTACCTCACAGCAACCTCAGACTTTTGGATTCAAGCAATCCTGCCTCAGCCTCCCGAGTAGCTGGGACTATAGGCATGCGCCACCATGCCCGGCTAATTTTTTCTATATATTTTTAGAGATGGGGTCTCGCTCTTGCTCAGGCTGGTCTCAAACTCCTGACCTTGAGCGATCCGCCTGCCTTGGCCTCCCAGAGTGCGAGGATTACAGGTGCGAGCCACTACACCTGGCCTATAAATGTATTTTCTTGAAAGGCAAAATTAAAATACACAGAATGCAAAGTTAATAATTAAGGTTTTGACATCTGTGGAATACTTTGGGTCTTATTTTTAGCTTTAGAAACAAAGCATTGGCTTTTGGAATAGTTTTCCTGCTAAAAATGGTGAAACCTTCTTCAGTAGGTTTTAACATAAGTATTTTCTGGTACCTATTATGCTGAATGTCACAGGTATAATGGAGATAATTATCTGCCTTTAAAACTGATATGGTTTTTGTTTTTTGTTTTTTTTTTTTTTTGAGACAGAGTCTCACTTTGTTGTCCAGGCTAGAGTGAGTGCCATGGCGTCAGCCTAGCTCACAGCAACCTCACACTCCTGGGCTCGAGCGATCCTTCTGCCTCAGCCTCCCGAGTAGCTGGGACTACATGCATGCGCCACCATGCCCGGCTAATTTTTTATATACATATCAGTTGGCCAATTAATTTCTTTCTATTTATAGTAGAGACGGGGTCTCGCTCTTGCTCAGGCTGGTTTTGAACTCCTGACCTTGAGCAATCCGCCTGCCTCGGCCTCCCAGAGAGCTAGGATTACAGACATGAGCTACCGCGCCCGGCTGTGAGCCACCACGCCCGGCCTGATATGGTTTTAAAAATTAGCCTGGGCCCAGCTGTCTTTCCTGGCAGATTTCATGTTTAAAAACTTGACATTTTAAATCATGTGTTGACTTGTTTGTTTTCACTACTAATTGATAAGGGAGTGGTATAAAATGTTGAGCATTTTTTATATACTTATGGCCATTTGTATGTCTTCTATTGAGAAATGTCTATTCACATCTTTTGTCTGTTTTTTAGTTGGATTATTTGAATGTTTGCTATTAAGTTGTTTGAGCCCCTTATATATTCTTTGTCAGATAGGTAGTTTGCAAATATTTTCTCTCATTCTGTGGTTTGTCACTTAACTTTGTTGATTGTTTCCTTTGCTGTGCAGAAGGTTTTTAGCTTGATGTAATCCCAGTTGTCTATTTTTGCTGTGTTTGCTTGTACTTTTGAGGTCTTACTCAAAATGTCTTTGCTCCAATGTCCTGGAGCATTTGCCCAATGTTTTCTTCTAGTAGTTTCATAGTTTCAGGTTTTAGATTTAAGTCTTTAATCTATTTTGAGTTGGTTTTTGTATATTGTGAAAGATAGGGTCTAGTTTCATTTTTCTGCATATGGTTATCCAGTTTTCCCAGCATCATTTATTAAAGAGACTGTTCTTTCCCTGTTGCATGTTTTGGCACTTGTATTGAAAATGAGTTGGCTGTAAATGTGTGGATTGATGTCTGTGTTCCCTATGCTGTTTCATTAAATGTGTCTGTTTTTTTGCCAGTACTATGTTTTGTAGTGAATTTTGAAGTCAGATAGTCTTTTTGCTCAGGATTTCTTTGTTTGGGGTCTTTTATGGTTCGTCATAAATGTTAGGATTTTTTTTTTCTGTTTCTGCGGGGAATGTTATTGATATTTTGATAGGACTTGCATTAAATCTGTAAATTACTTTGAGTAATATTATCATTTTAACAATATTAATTCTTCTAGTCCATGAGCATGGAGGTTTTTTTTTATTGATTTTTGTCCTCTTGAATTTTTTTCATCCATGTTTTATAATTTCCCTTGTATAATTCTTTCAGTTCTTTGGCTAAACTGATAACTTAGGTATTTTATATTCTTTGTAGCTATTGTAAGTGGGATTACTTTCTTGATTTCTTTTTCAGATTGTTGATTATTGGTGTATATAAATGCTGCTGATTTTTGTATGTTGGTTTTTTTTTTTTTGGAGACAGAGTCTCGCTTTGTTGCCCCAGGCTAGAGTGAGTGCCGTGGCATCAGCCTAGCTCACAGCAACCTCAAACTCCTGGCTCAAGCAATCCTCCTGCCTCAGCCTCCCGAGTAGCTGGGACTACAGGCATTCGCCACCATGCCCGGCTAATTTTTTGTATATATATTAGTTGGCCAATTAATTTCTTTCTATTTTATAGTAGAGACGGGGTCTCGCTCTTGCTCAGGCTGGTTTCGAACTCCTGACCTCGAGCAATCCGCCCGCCTCGGCCTCCCAGAGAGCTAGGATTACAGGCGTGAGTGTATGTTGGTTTTGTATCAAACAGCTTTATTGAATTTGTTTATCAGTTTTTGTAGTTTTTGGTGGAGTCTTTAGGTTTTTCTAAGTATAAGATTGTGTCATCTGTGAACAAGTCTAACTTGACTTCTTTCTTTCCAATTTACATGCTCTTTATTTCTTTCTCTCACCTAATTGCTCTGGCCAGGACTTCCCATATTATGGGGAATAAAAGCAGTGAAAGTGAGCTTCCTTGTCTTGTTCTAGGTCTTAGTGGAGAGGCTTTCAACTTTTCCCTCTTTGGTATGGTGTTAGCTGTGAGTTGGGCATATATGGCTTTTATTATTTTGAGGTATGTTTCTTCTATACTCAGTTTGTTGAGAGTTTTCATCAAAAAGAGTTGCTGAATTTTATCAAATGCTTTTTCAGCATCTACTGAAATAGGATCATATGGTTTTTGTTCTTGGTTCTGTTAATGCAATATATTTATTGATTTGTGTATGGTGAACCATCCTTGCAACCCTGGGATGAATCCCACTTGATTATGGTGAATAATCTTTTTAATATGTTGTTGAATTCTATTTTTAGTATTCTGTTCAGGAATTTTGCATCTATGTACATCAGTGATATTGGTCTGTAGTTTTCTTTTTGTATTGTATCTTTGATTTTGATAGCAGGGTAATGCTGGCCTTGTAGAATAAGTTTGGAAGTATTCCCTCTTTGTCAATTTTTTTGAAGAGTTTGAGTAGAATTGGTGCTAATTCTTCTATAAATATTTGGAAGAATTCATCAGTGAAGCCACCAAGTCCTGGGCTTTTCTTTGATGAGACACTTTTTTTATGGCTTCGATCCTGTTACTCGTTATTGATTTGTTGAGGTTTTCTATTTCTTCATGGTTCAGTCTTGGTAAGTTGTGTGTGTCTAGCAATTTATCCATTTCTTTTAGGTTCTCTAATTTGTTGGTGTGTAGTTGTTCATAATGGTCTGTAATGATTCTTTGTATTTCTGTGGTCTCTATTGTTATGTCTCCTTTTTCATTTCTGATTTTTATTTGGATCTTGTCTCTTTTTTTCTTAGTCTAGCTAAAGGTTTGTTGATTTTGTTTATCTTTTCAGAAAACTAGCTTTTTATTTCATTGATCTTCTGTGGTTTTTTTTTTTCTATTTCATTTTAGTCTCAATTTCATTTTTTTTTTTTTTTGCTCTGCTCTTTATTATTTTTTTCCTTCTACTAATTTTGAGTTTGGTTTGTTCTTGCTTTTCTGGTTCCTTGAGGTGCATTGTTAGGTTGTTTATTTGAAGTCTTTCTACTTTCTTGACATAGACGTTTACTGCTATAAACTTCCCTCTTAGCAGTGCTTTTGCCATATCCCATAGATTTTGGTATATTGCATTTCCATTTTC